ATCTCGGCTCACCGCAACCTCCGCCTCCCGGGTTCAGGCAATTCTCCTGCCTCAGCCTCCTGAGTAGCTGGGATTACAGGCACACACCACCATGCCCAGCTAATTTTTTGTATTTTTAGTAGAGACGGGGTTTCACCATGTTGACCAGGATGGTCTCGATCTCTTGACCTCGTGATCCACCCGCCTCGGCCTCCCAAAGTGCTGGGATTACAGGCTTGAGCCAACGCGCCCGGCCTAATTTTTTTTTTTTAAGGTGGAGTCTTGCTGTGTTGCCCAGGCTGGAGTACAGTGGCATGATCTCGGCTCACTGCAACCTCTGCCTCCTGGGTTCAAGCAATTCTCCTGCCTTAGCCTCCCAAGTAGCTGGGAATACAGGCACACGACACCATGCCCAGCTAATGTTTTTTTGTGTTTTTAGTAAGATAGGGTTTTACCATGTTAGCCAGGATGGTCTCGATTTCCTGGCTTCATGATCCACCCGTCTCAGCCTCCCAAAGTGTTGGTATTAAAGGGGTGAGCCACCACGCCTGGCTAATTTTGTATTTTTTTTTAGTAGATATTGGGGTTTCTCCATGTTGGTCAGGCTGGTCTTGGACTCCCAACCTTGGTGATCTGCCCGCATTAGCCTCCCAAAGTGCTAACAGGTGTGAGCCGCTATGCCTGGCCTTAGTTTTTTGTTTTGTTTTGTTTTGTTTTGTTTCTGAGATGGAGTTGCGCTCTGTTACCCAGGCTAGAGTATAATGACGTGATCTCGGCTCACTGCAGCCTCCGCCTCCCAGGTCAAGCGATTCTTCTGCCTCAGCCTCCCAGGTAGCTGGGATTACAGGTGCCCGCCGCCCAGCTAATTTTTTGTATTTTTAGTAGAGACGGGGTTTCACCATGTTGGCCAGGCTGGTCTTGATCTCCTAACCTCTGGTGATCTCCCCGCCTTGTCCTCCCAAAGTGCTGGGATTACAGGCATAAGCCACTGCACCCAGCCCTAGCCCTAGATTTTTAAAATGTATACGCTACATTTATTTTCCTTTGTTATTATAATTATTATTATTGTTGAGATGGAGTCCCAGTCTGTCACCCAGGCTGGAATGCAGTGGTGCCATCTCAGCTCACTGCAACCTCTGCGTCCTGGGTTCAAGCAATTTTCCTGCCTCAGCCTCCCTAGTAGATGGTACTTACAGGCACCTGCCATCACATCCAGCTAATTTTTGTATTTTTAGTAGAGATGGGGTTTCACCATGTTGGCCAGGCTGGTCTCGATCTCTTGACCTTGTGATCCTCCCACTTTGGTCTCCCAAAGTGTTGGGATTACAGGCATGAGCCACCATGCCTGGCCCAAGTTATTTTAATAAAAATGGATCCATACTATACATACTGTTATTGCAACTTGTTTATTTCAGTTTGAAAAGCAATTTAGCCAAGCAGTTAGAAGCTTGGGCCTAGCAGCCAGTCTGTCTGGGTTTGAATCTGGCTCTACCACTTGTTAACTATATGATTCTGGAAAAGCTTTTTAACCTTTGTACCTCGGTTACTCATCTGTAAAATGTGAATAATTATAGTCCCAACCTTCTAGAGCTGTTGTAAGGATTAGATGAGTTAATAGGCAAAAAATGCTTAAAATAGTGCCTGCCATATAGTAAGTCTCAATAAATGCTGCTTCGTAATTATTTAATTATATATGTAGAATCAAGGCTGCAGTGAACTGTGATTCTACCACTGTACTCCAGCCTGGGCAACAGAGTGAGACCCTGTCTCTTAAAAAAAAAATAGCACAATAGCATATATAATATCTGTAAGTATAAATAATTTTTATTTCTATATAACAAATATATTAAAACAGTTTATTTAGAGACAGGATCTTGGTCTGTCACCCAGGCTGGAGTGGAGTGGTACAGTCATAGCTCACTGTACCCTTGAACACCTGGCCTCAAGTGATCTTCCTGCCTTGGCCCCCCAAAGTGCTGAGATTATAGGTGTGAGCCAGTGTACCCAGCACAAATAATTTAAATAAATAATCAATAAATAAATATATCTAGGTCATATTAGTGTGACATGATGTTACATTTTATGGATGTAAGGAATTCTACTGGATAGATTTTTTGCTATGACAAACAATGCTTAAACAGTTTAGTACAATTCTTTTTGCACCCTTGTTTATTTCCTTAGCATAAGTTCCTGGAAGTAAGATTGCTAGGTAGAAGGGTATATATATTTTTTAGGACAGTTTGTGGTTTTTGTTATGATTTAATTTGATCAACTTTTTCTGAAAAGAGTACATTTTTTTCCCAAACATTTCCACAGTACATGTTACATGTGTATATGTTGTGTGACATATATGACATGTATAGTGTATGAAACAGTAAGTGGATATTCTATTTTTTTGAGACGAAGTCTCGCTCTGTTGTTCAGGCTGGAGTGTAATGGTGTGATCTCAGCTCACTGCAACCTCCGCCTCCTGGGTTCAAGCAGTTCTCCTGCCTCAGCCTCCCGAGTATCTGGGATTATAGGTGTCTGCCACCATGCACAGCTAATTTTTTTTTTTTTTTTACACAGAGTCTTGCTCTGTCACCCAGGCTGCAATACAATGGCGTGATCTCGGCTCACTGCAACCTCTGCCTCCCAGGTTCAAGCGATTCTCCTGCCTCAGCCTCTCGAGTAGCTGGTACTATAGGGATGTGCTACCACGCCCATCTAATTTTTGTATTTTTAGTAGAGACCATGTTAGCCAGGATGGTCTTGAACCCCTGACCTTGTGATTCGCCCACCTCAGCCTCCCAAAGTGTTGGGATTACAGGCGTGAGCCACCACTCCCAGCCTAAGTGGATATGCTTATTTTCTGTTTTAACCTTAAATCATTCTGTCACAGTTTAGTATAATTATAGATTTGTTTACTTACTTGAATAGTGAATACACACACACAGAAAACCTTTTTCAAAGGTACAAAGGGTTAATTAGAGAAATTAAAAATTCCCACCTATCCTTGTTTCTTTGTAACTCCTCCTTAGCAGCAAACACTGTTGGCAGTTTTCTATTTATCCTTCTGGAGAGTTCCATGCATATGTAAGCATACACTCATACATATTGTTTTTCGTACTATTGGTAGTGACCTTTTGTACTTTACATATACTAGTCTATAGCTTAGTTTTTTTCTTTTCTTTTCTTTCTTTCTTCCTTTTTTTTTTTTGAGACAGAGTCTTGCTTTATTGCCCAGGCTGGAGTATAGTGGCACGATCTTGGCTTACTGCAACCTACTCCTCCCAGATTCAAGCGATCCTCCTGCCTCAGCCCCTCTAATAGCTGGGAATACAGGCACATGCCACCATGCCTGGCTTTTTTTTTCTTTCTTTCTTTTTTTTTGAGACCGAGACTCGCTCTGTCTCCTAGGCTGGAGTACAGTGGCATGATCTTAGCTCATTGCAACCTCTGCCTTCTGGGTTCAAGCGATTCTCCTGCCTCAGCTTCCTGAGTAGCTGGGATTAAAGGTGCACATCACCATGCTGGCTATGTTTTGTTGTTGTTGTTTTTGTTTTTGTTTTTTCAGTAGAGATTGGGTTTTGCCATATTGGCCAGGCTGGACTCGAACTCCAGACCTCAGTGATCCACCCATCTTGGGCTCCCAAAGCGCCGGGATTACAGGCATGAGTCACCATGCCCAGCCTGTCTTAGCTTTTTTTCTCTTAATAGTATATCTTAGAATTTTTTCATACCCGGTGTATTTTAAGGACAGCAAGGTTTTTTGTTTTTTTTTTGGAGACGGAGTCTCAGTCTGTTGCCCAGGCTGGAGTGCAGTGGCACAATCTCAGCTCACTGCAGCCTCCACTTCCCAGGTTTAAGTGATTGTCCTGCCTTAGCTTCCCGAGTAGCTGGGCTTACAGGTATCTGCCACCATGCCTGGCTAGTTTTTGTACTTTTAGTAGAGACGGGATTTCACCATGCTGGCCAGGCTGGTCTTGAAGTCCCAACCTCAGGCGATCTGCCTGCCTCTGCCTCCCAAAGTGTTGGGATTAGAGGCATGAGCCATGCCCAGATGCATTTTTTTTCTCTGATTAATTTCAGAGCTATTGTAGAGAAAACAAATTACAGCTTGTTTCATTGAGGTAAATATCGTAAAGTCAGCAGTTTAATGGATGAATTATGGATATTTGGGGATATTTTTGCTCTCATGTAGTAGTTATCTCAGCCAACTCCTCTTCTTGACATTTTCCCTTGTCCCTTTCCCTTCTTCCCAGCCCTGCGTATTTGTCTAGACTATGAAAGTAGCAGTAGCTATCATCTTTAATAGCACTAAGCAGCCTGAAGTTGCATTAATTGAAGTAGGGAAGTAAAGTTGTGTCCATATTGTTCAGTCCACATGTAGAACTCTGGACACCCTATTTTATTTATTTATTTTTGTTGTTTTTTTTTGAGTCAGTCTCACTGTGTCCCCCAGGCTGGAGTGCGGTCGTGCAATCTCGGCTCACTGCAACCCTTGTCTCCCGGGTTCAAGTGATTCTCCTGCCTCAGCCTCCTGAGTAGCTGGGATTTCAGGTGCATGCTACCACTCCTGGCTAATTTTTGTAATTTTAGTAGAGATGAGGTTTCATGATGTTGGCCAGGCTGCTCTTGAACTCCGGACCTCAGGTGATCCGCCTGCCTCAGCCTCCCAAAGTGCTGAGATTATAGGCATCAGCCACTGCACCCGGCCTGATTTTTACAAGTTTATTGGTATGAATTTTTGAAAACCTGTCTCTGGACCTCTGACCTCTGTTTACCATTTTCCCTTCCTTCCTGCTTTAGAATTGTCTTGTTTTTGTTTAAGATAATTCCAGATCTCCCTACTGCTACCTCAGTGACCAGATTCTCTCCTGTCTTTATCTTTCCCTCTTCCCCCATGCTTTCCTCTCAGTACAGAAAGACACTTAAGCCTGTCTCACCATAAGGAAAGACACCCCCACACAACCCACTTCCTCAGCTTCCTTTCCCCGCTAGCTAGTTCTGTTTCGCTTCCTTTGAAATTAGGCTTTTGAGTGCTGGCTTCAGAGTCACATATACCAAAATTGGAATGATAAAGAGATTAGCAGGGCCCCTGTGAAAGGATGACATGAAAATTTGTGAAGTGTTCCATATTTTCCTGCGGCCCCACAAGGTCCTGGCATCTCTAGCAGAAGCCAACACTTCAGCACCACCAGGCCCAACACCTTCTTCTAGGTGCAGGACCCTTACCCTGAGTCTGGCCAAATAAACTCCTTGAGAATGCTCCCCCACCAAAACATCAGGTTTTTGACAGAGTTGAGTCTTTGGTCCCTATCTCTCCATCTCACCTCCTGTTCACTTTGTGCCACTGAAGTCTAGCTTCACTTTCAGTGCTACACAAAAACTACCCTCCATGGAACTGCTTTACTGTGGTGTCCACCGTCCCACATCCCAGCAATTCTTTATCTATCTGATTTGTCTGTTCGTAGCTTTCGACAGTTATCTTCCCTCCTGTAAGTTCTCCACTCCTTGACATTTTATTTTTCTGAGATGGAGTCTCGCACTGTTGCCTGGGCTGGTGTGCAGTGGCACAATCTCGACTCGCTGCAACCTCCACCTGCCCGGTTTCAATCGATTCTCCTGCCTCAGCCTCCCAAGTAGCTAGGATTACAGGTGCCCGCCTCTACGCCTGTCTAATTTTTTTTGTATTTTTAGTAGAGACAGGGTTTCACTATGTTGGCCAGGCTGGTCTCAAACTCCCGACCTCATGATCTGCCTCCAGAAGTGCTGCGATTACAGGCGTGAGCCACCGCACCTGGCCCCTTGACAATTTTTTTGTTGTTGTAAAAATAAAAATAAAAATTTACCATCTTAACCATTTTTAAGGATACAGTTCGGTAGTGTTAAGTATATTAATATTGTTGTAAAACAGATCTCTAGAACTTTTTCCTCTTGCAAAACCAAAATAAAAACTCCCCCTTTCCCTCCCACTAGCTAAGACTCCCTTGACTTTTTGTGAGCCTCTTCTCTCCAGGATTTTTTTCTATCTCTGGCCTGGCCAATCATTTTCAGTCTTTTTTTTTTTTTTTTTTTTTTTTAAGCTCCTTTTCTTTTAATGCTATTGTTAAAGAATTCTCACGCACTGCTGGTGGTAGTGTAAACTGAAAATGCCTTTCCAGAGGGCACTATGACAGTATCTAGGAAAACAAATAATAGGCATACCATTCAGTCCAACAGATACCAACTCCACTTCTAGGTATCTGTTCTAGGAGAGAGATTTGTTCTCTGCTCAAAAAGATCATGCTACAAGGGTGCTAAATGCAACACAATTTGTTTCAGGGGGAAAATATCCATTCATGAGGGAAATGGTAAAATGCATTGTAATCAAGGTTTAGATTGGTGGATTGGAAGTTTTTACCACTAGAATGTAAACTGTGTGAGTCCAGGGGCCTGTCTATCTATCTCACTCATACATGAGTCAATGAATAGCAGAGAAGGGCAATTGAAAGCATTAATACACACCAAGCAACTGATAGGAAGAGGAGTGTGAGAAGAGAGGCTCACGGTTATGTTGTTTCAGTCTTTTAAAATGAGAATATATTCATATATCACTTGTGAAAAAGGATAAAAAATAAAGCAAAGACTGGTCAGGCGCGGTGGCTCACGCTTGTAATCCCAGCACTTTGGGAGACCAAGGCAGACGGATTACAAGGTCAGGAGTTCAAGACTAGCCTGTCCAATATGGTGAAACCCTGTTTCTACTAAAAAGTACAAAAATTAGCCAGGTGTGGTGGCATGTGCCTGTAATCTCAGCTACTTGGGAGGCTGAGGCAGGAGGATCACTTGAACCTGTGAGGCAGAGGTTGCAGTGAGCCAAGATCATGCCATTGCACTCCTGACACAGACTCTGTTTAAAAAAAAAAAAAAAAAGCTGAGCATGTTGGCTGGGCACGGTGGCTCGAGTCTGTGATCCCAGCACTTTGGGAGGCCGAGGTGGGTCGATCACTTGAGGTCAGGAGTTTGAGACCAGCCTGGCCAACATAGTGAAACCCCATCTCTACTAAAAATATAAAAATTAGCTGGGCATGCTGGCATGCATGTGCTGTAATCCCAGCTACTTGGGAGGCTGAGGTGCAAGGATCACTTGAGTCCAGGAGGTGGAGGCTGCAGTGATCTGAGATCATACCACTGCACTCCAGCCTGGGTGACAGATTGAGACTCCTGTCTCAAAAACAAACAGAAAAACCCCGAACATGTCAGTTTCTCGCTGAAACTTCTTCAGGTGTGCCTACACTTAAAGTATATCCACAGGTCTTAGTCTGTTTAGTGCTACTATAAAGGAATACCTAAGACTGGGTATTTATAAAGAATAGGTTTATTTAGTTCATGGTTCTGCAGGCTGTGCAAGAAGCATAGTGCTAGCATCTGCTTCTGATAAAGGCCTCAGGCTGCTTCCACTTACAGCGGAAAGCAAAGGGGAGCAGAGATCACATGGCAAAAGAGAAAAGAGAGAGAGGGAGGTACCAGATTCTCTTTAACAACCAGCTCTTGTGGGAACTTACAGAGATTGAGAACTCAACCACCCCCCAGCTCCCCAGGAAGTGCATTAACCTGTTCATGAGCAATTTGCACACATGACTCAAATACTTCCCATTAGGCCTAACCTCAAAGTTGGGGATCAAGTTTCAACACAAGATATGGAAGGGATAAACATCCAAACTATAGCACCCCATAAGATTCTTATTAATTACAAAAAGGAAAAAAACTAACCCTACAGTAGACAAATGTGGTAAACAGCACTTAACCAAAAGATCAAAGTTAATGTCAGTACAAATCAATGTCATGTGCTACTGATCTCTGTTGCCCAGGCTGGAGTGCACTGGTGCGATCTCGGCTCACTGCAGCCTTGACATCCCAGGCTTAGGTGATCCTTCTGCCTCAGCGTCTCAAGTAGCTGGGATTACAGGCGTGCGCCACCACGCCTGGCTAATTTCTTGGGCTCAAGTGATCTTCCTGCCTTGGCCTCCCAAAGTGCTAGAATTACAGGCATGAGCCACCACATCTGGCCGAGACGTTCTTTTGCTAAAGGAGATTATTGGGCCAACTGGCAAAATTGTAATAAGGTTTATAGATAACAGTGTCAGTTTCCTGATTTTGATAAGTTTACTGTCATGTAAGAGAATATTCTTTAGGATATACACAGAAAGGTATTTAGAGATACAAGCATCAAGTCTACACTCCCCCAGGCTAGAGTGCAGTGGCGTGATCTCGGCTCGCTGCGACCTCTGCCACCTGGGTTCAAGCAATTCTCCCTGCCTCAACCTTCTGAGTAGCCGGGATTACAGGCACCTGCCACCAAGCCTAGCTAATTTTTGTATTTTTAGTAGAGAGGGCGTTTTGCCATGTTGGCCAGGCTCATCTTGAACTGCTGACCTCAGGTGATCTGCCTGCCTTGGCCTCTCAAAGTGCTGGGATTACAGGTGTGAGCCACCACCCCTGGCCAATTCCAGATATTTTTTTCAGAAAATTTAAAAAAATTTATTCATCTATGTATATATATAGAGATAATTATTAAAATGGTAAAAAGTTAACATTTGGGAAACTGGAATGAAGTACATACGGAAATTTGTATTACTTTTACTTTTTTCAGTCCGTAATGTCAAAATAAAAGGTTAAAACATCGAAATTCATGTTAACAAAAGAAATCCCTCCGGTGCTCCCTACAGATTTTTTTTTTTTTCTTGAGACAGACTCTCACTCTGTCGCCCAAGCTGCTGGAGTTCAGCGGTGCAATGTTGGCGCAGCCTCTGCTGCCTGGTTCAAGCGATTCTCCTGCCTCAGCTTCCCGAGTAGCTGGGACTACAGGTGTGCACCACCACACCTGGCTAATTTTTTATATTTTAGTAGAGATGGGGTTTCACCATGTTGGCCAGGATGGTCTCAATCTCCTGACCTTGTGATCCACCCGCCTCTGCCTTCCAAAGTGTTGGGGATTACAGGTGTAAGCCACCGCGCACAACCATGTTTTATATTTTTAGTAATGATGGGGCTTCACCGTGTTGGTCAGGCTGGAGGCTGGTCTTGAACTCCCGACCTCAGGTGCTCTGCCTGCCTCGGCCTCCCAAAGTGCTGGGATTACAGGCATCAACCACCGCGCCCGGCCTCCTACAGCTTTTTCAGGTTAATTCTAACCATAGCTAGTGGTCTTTGGTGCTTGATTCCTGCCCTTCTTTCTGTCCTCATCTGCCAGCACAACTCTATACAAACCCCTTCAGTGTCTTTTTTTTCTTTTTTTGAGACAAGTTCTCTGTAACCTTGGCTGGAGTGCAGTGGCACAATCATGACTCACTGCAGCTTCGACTTCCTAGACTCAAATGATCCTCCCACTTCAACATCCCGAGTAGCTGGGACTACAGGTGCATATCACCATGCCCAGCTTATTTCCAGCTAAAAAGTTTCTGGCTTATTTTTAAATTTTTTTTTTTTTTTTTTTTTTTTTTTTTTT